TTGCACCAGCAGAGTTAAACGTCAGCTGCAGCCTGTGTTGGCACCTGACCAGTTCTGGGTTCCATCTCTATCTAGGTGGCTTTGGGCAAGTTATTTAACCAGCCTGAGCTTTAGTCTGTTAACCCGCAAAATGGGGGGAAAGACAAATTATACTTATAGTAATGAATCAAAGTAGCAGCAATTGTGATGTCAGCTGGTAGAGCTGCTGACACCTCCTGCCACCCTGGGTGCCCAGGTACAGATCCCTCTGACATCTGTGTCTGTGTCCTGGATCACCCAAGCTGGAGCCCTCCCATCCCCCACCTGGGCATAGCTCCAGGGACAGAGCAACTGCTGTGCTCTGAACCCAGATGCTGTGGCTCAGGGATGCAGCATGCTGTGCTGGAGAACAGTTGTAGACTGCTCTCTGATTCCCTGGTCCTTGGCCTTGACTGTTTCTTTTCCTCTCTGAAGTGTTTCCCGTGTACTAGCTCATTGTCACTGCACCCCAGTGACTGAGGCACTGTCTCTGTGTTCACTGTGTAGACCAGGAAGAGAGTGCTTTGCCAGAGCTGGCAGAGGTCACCATGTCGATAGGACATTGCCACAGTTTATATTGATCATTGCAGTATATTTACATTCCTCATCACATGAAAACAATTTTTTTTCTGTATTTTAAATTTAATATTATTGGACTGTGGAGATAGCTTGGTGGTCTAGGTGCCTGCCTGTCAAGTGCAAGAAGCTGAGTTCGAGCCTTGGAACTTCATGCTGTGCCACTACAAGTCCAAGCTTCGTAGTGAGACCCTGTACCAAGTAAATAAAGAAGGTTTAAAAATTAATATATAAATTTAATACTATTTCTTTTTAGAATACTTGTAAGTTCTAACTTAAACTGATTTAAGGATGTTAAGTTTTTTTAAATTTTATATTCATGTTTTCCAGCCAATTTTTTTTTCTCACTGCACCACCCCCTCCAGTCCCAGATGGAAAATTCCATCTCAGAGATAACTTAAGACTTTGTTAAATCTTGAGCTTTGTCAATTTTTCATTTTTATTTTTGAAATGATTACGATATAGAGTCTACAGAATTGGAAATTGTAATTTTAAAGAGTACTGAGAAACTTTAACCCTGTTATAATTACTCTGCAAACCTTTCAAGGAGTCTGTAGTCAGTGCAGCTAGATGAAAAGCCCTGATAGATTGGAAATATAGAGGGTCATTTGTCAGCCTCAAGTTTCTGTCTTGTGTTCCCACCCACTCGGTCCCTCTGTCCCTGTAGTCTCAGGGTGATTTCCTACCCTAGGTTCGTGGGAACGGGGAAGGACACTGTTTGATTCATTCTCTGGAAATACTGGGGAGTTTGAAGAAGACAACACAGGCAGCCCGGTTTTGTCACTTCCTGTTGCTGATCAAAGTTTGCTAAAGAAACGGGAGTCACAGAGCAACTGCCAGGCAGCGGGCAGTTGCCTGTTGCTGACCCCAGTGTCCGGCGGTGCCTGCTTCTTAGTGTGGCCAGTCAGGCCGCCCTGACCTCTGGGCTCCTTAGAAGTTGATGGTGCCACCCGTGCTGCAGAGAAGGATCAGAGCTGTGTGCTTGCTAACACAAAGGCAGCTTGTACACGTCAGATAAGGCTGCAGATGGAATCCTGACTGGCTTCCTCAAGTTCGGGCCCATCTGCATTTGGCTTACTGAGCCTGTCAGTCAGTGTCATTTCCCCTGCATAGGATCCCAATGAGGGGGAGGGCGCAAGACGTGGATGGCACATGGGGCAGGATCCGGCACTCTGGGACAGTTGTATATGGCCATAGGATATTGAATCTTACAGAAAGGAACAGTCCCAGTGAATAGAGTGGAGGAGATGTAGAGCTAATGCTTATTGATGCAGCTCAACAAAGCTTTATTAAGCTGTGCCCAAGATGGTGCTATGCTGGGAATGCAGAGCAAGCCCTAAACCTTGGCTGTCTGCACTCAGGCTAGGGTAATTAGGCAAGGCCCCAGGCTACTGAAGCTCAGGCAGGGATCCTGGGAGGTGGTGAAAGTGAGTATGGGTTGTGCCTGGTTCTCAAGTAGAGGATAAGGATGAGGTAGAGCATATGGGAGAAGGAGATGACACTAGGAAGGACAGGCTGTGATTAAGAGCCTGTGCTTTAGCAACTTCTCCAAAACCCCCATCTTCTCCTCTATAAAGTGTGGGTGGTGTTTTGTCCTATCCTGAAAGAGACTTGGAGGTTGAAATCACTCCTGACCACCCCTCAAAGAGCCCATGAGGTAGAGCAGGTTTGGGCTGTGCTGGGACCCTTGGGCTCTACAGGGCCAGCTCCAGCTGGAATGCCACATACTCTTACCTTTAGCTCCTCCTGCTCGGAGATAGCCTCACGGTCTGGGATGGCCCTGAGTTTGCTGCAGGTGGGAGGATTAGGGGTGCCAGTGGCCTTTTGCCAGCAGGATGAGCTCACATCCACCTGTGGGGGGCAGGTGTGGGCTTTGTGGGGCCATGAGCAAGACAAACAGTCCAGAAAGGCATTTATGAAGTATAAGGGACAATATGTGTCACAGGGTGAGTGTGAGAACAACTGTTAATTTAGAAAAGGGGGAGTTTGAAGCCACACTGGGAGTTAGTTTGTATTCAAAGTGCAATGAAAACTCTTAGCAGGAAAGCACTATGCCAATGTATGTTTATTTTATTATTTGTGTACTTAAAATGAGAATTTCTGAGTGATCCTGCACACCCTTGTTTGAGATGAGCACAGAAGAATATGTCACAAAGAATTTCCTCTCTCCCTCTCACTTGCTCTCGCACTTCCTCGGTGTACCAATCCCATATGTTAGCTGACAATGTGCACACCTGGCCACCACTGACACAGGAAGCACTGAGGGCTGCTCTGCCCCTTGCTTTCCCCTCTTGCTCTGTGGGGAGACCATTCTGGAGTGATCCAGAAAGGGCTTCTTGATTTGCATTATTTTTAACCTGTCTTCTACTGATGGGCATCTATGTAGTTTCCAACTTTAGGGTCAGTAAACATGCCACAGGGACATTCTATGTTTATAAGAGCTTGGCTGGGTCACACGTTGTATGCATTTTGATAGTGCTTTCCAGATTGGCCCTGCAGATTGTACTAATTCAGTGGTATAACAGTATGACTCAGTTCTGGACTTTTTTTTTTCTTTTTTGCAGAGCTGAGGATTAAACCCAGGGCCCTTGCTCTGTGCTACATCCCAGCCCTTTTTTATTTTGGCACTGGTCTTGGTAAATTGCCTAGGCTGAGCTTGAACTTGTAGTTCTCCTTCCTCAGCCTCCAGAGTGCTGGGATTCCAGGTGTATAACATTGGGTCTACTTTAAATATGTTGTAGTTTTGATAGATGATGAGGTCAGTGTTCCCTCTGCATGGCTGTGGGAGAGACCTGGGCCCCTTTGCCTGAGAGATACCACTCCCTCTTTTAACTGGGCTTTACCCCCAGAAATCAGGGACCCCACCTCCTTCTTGTCTTGGTGGAGGAAATGAGAAAGGAGAGGTGACCCATGATGGGTGAGAAGGGAACTGGGGCATGCCAGCTTCCCTGGAGTTGGACACAAACTGTCTCAGCCACTTTCCTCAGCACCAGGACAAAATACCTGACACCTGCAGTTTAGGAAAGAACAACTTCATTCAGTTCCTGTTTTGGTAACTTTCAGTCCTTGCATGGTCAGCAGCAGGGTGGAAGATCCTAGTCAGAGGAAAGTCTCTCCCATTCAGTAGTCAGGAAGCAGAGACAAGAGAAGAGCCAGGAAGAGAGATGTACCCTGCCATGTCACGTCCCTGCCAGGTCATCCCCACTGACCATCTCTTCTGACCAGACTCTACCTCCTAACTGCAAGTCAGAATCTAACCTCATGCTCCAGTCACCTTCTAAAAGCTCTGCCTCCAAGCCCAGAAGGCTTTAGGGGACATCCAGTTAGAAACCCTATTACAGCTGAGCCTCCTGCCAGAGGAGTGTAGGCAGCAGAGCAGTGTCTGGAGCCAGCAGCCCTGGCTTCTAGCACCCTTTATTGTCTACTGCTCGCATGACCTCAGAGCATGAGTCCCTGTGTCCCCGAAGCTCCCTTTCCTCATTTAAACCGTAAGTAGTGGGGAGGGGTGTTAGTTGGCCTAGTACACGTTGTCATGCTGGTGGAGGATCAGAGCTGTCCCCACCCCACCACTATACTGTTGTCATCAGAATCACTTCTAAAGCAGTCTTCCTCTGCCTCGTTGGGGCTGTAATTGGCTCTGAAAAACCTCCTCATGAGGCTCCTATAAATGAAAATGAAATGATGAGTCCTTTCAGCAGGGCAAATACTTGTATTTTTTCCCATTCACCAAGTAATGCCCCTTTGTTTTCTTATTGAAATGACTCTTTAAGTGCTGTTAAAAGGACACATTCCCTCTGTGGGGTGACAACTGAGTTCCCTCTGTGGCTGATGTGTGACTATCTATCCACCTGCTGTGGTTGGGCTCAGATTTGCTGTGCTGAAAGGGGTACAGCCAGGCACACATGTCACAGAGCTCAGTGGCCCGTAGTACTGTGAGAGGCGCTGCTTACTCCTCTGGCTCCTGCCCTTTACCTCTTGTTTTTTTTTTTTTGTTTTCCTTTTTTTCCTCTTTCTGAACAAGGGCAAGTGTGTAGGCACTGGCTGAGCCTAGCATAGAATGTGAGCTTTTTCCCGCTTGGCATGAAAGTGACAGGATTGGTAAAATCGGTATGTGTGGGTCTGGATTTGGATGAGCTTTCCCCTTGCTGCATATTAGCTGTGTGGCCTTGGGCAAGCTGTATGTTATGGGTCTCAGTTTCCCCAACTCTCTCAGTGGTTCTGAGGCCTAATGAGACCTCACAGGTCCAAGCGTCCCACACAGGACCTGGAGCCCGGAGGCTCATGGTCACTGTCCATTTTTGTTTGCCTTCTTTTTGGCAGCACTTTGCCTGGCCTTCAGTATGGGTGACTTTCTGTGTGTCTCACCACCACCTTGCTCTTATTGACCTTGTCATTTCTCATTCCAGGAGCCCAGATCATCGACCTGATGATGTTGGTCATTGATGTGACCAAGGGGATGCAGACCCAGTCAGCAGAGTGCCTCGTGATTGGCCAGATTGCCTGTCAGAAACTGATCGTGGTGCTGAACAAAATAGACCTCTTAGCTGAAGGGAAAAGACAGACAGCCATCGACAGAATGACCAGGAAAATGCAGAAGACCCTGGAGAACACCAAGTAGGTTTGCTGATGGGAGGCCTTGGCATGGACTAGGCAGGCAGGGCCAACCTCCCACACTCGTAAGTGGAATCTCGCTTGGTACTTGCACCCTTCAGGGCTGCAGTGAGTAGCCTTTCAGTGAGTATGCTTATAGGAGTGGTGCATGTTGGAGACTGGTTTTGCTATCTCTTGCCCTAGCCTGTGAGCGTGCACACCTCATCTGTCTGGTCAGAGCGAGGCACTAGTGCTTGTGTGCCTCAGCTCCCAGAAGGAAAATCTGAGGGTTATTGTCTATGTGGAAATCCTGGTGCAGAGGGCGAGTTCCCTCTCGGTTCTAGGCCAGACCTCAGTGCAGAGCAGCTGGAAGTCCTGACCTTTCTTCATTTGCTTCTCCACATGTTCGTGGTCAACAGGTAATAAGGAATTTTGGTGGATGAATAGTCATTTCTGTCACAGGACCTTATGATATTGAGTAGATAGATGGGTCATTGTTGCTGCTGGAGGCCAGATGAGGAAATGGCAAATGACACAGGGTTTCTGTAGCAGCTTGTACTGGGAATGTGTAGTGTTGTCTTGTGGAGATAGAAAGTGGTCGTGGAGTTTTGTGCTGGTCTGACTGCATGAGGATCTATCAGGGGTTCCAGGCCTGGTAGGGAAGACCAGGGCACACTGGGGTGGCAGAAAGGAGGAGAAGGTAGGCTGCCCTTGGTAGTTTCTTAGGGACAGGAGGTGTGGCTCTGAGTCAGGATAATGTAAGAGGGAAGAGGTGACCTGGGGTACTTGAGGCTACTCCACAGACCTTGTCTAGCCATGGGTGATGAAGACAGTCTGGGCAGGAAGGTGGCAAGACCACTGGTAGAGGAGGATAGTGGGGGAAGGTGGGGACCATGGAACCAGGAGCCGTCTGGGTGTTAGGAAGCCACAGGATGACGCATCCTGATGTGGCTGAGAAAATGAGTGGAGCACACAGCATGGGCAAACCTTGCGTTGTATCAATTTCCCATTTCCTCTCTGGGCTGGTTCCTTTTGATCAATACTAAATAGTGGTCACCGGGAGACAAGGATGCTTCCTCTTTGCAATGCAGCCGGAGACAATATCCTGCCACTGCCACCTCTCCTTCTCCAGCCCGAGGAGGGCAAGCAAGTAGAGAGTGTTTTTGTTTCCCTGTCATAAAGATTGATATAGCTTCTCATTTATGATTTTTTTTTTCAGATCCAGCACCTGCAGCTCTCCCTCAGAATTCTCACATTGGTTAAATTAAAGCTCCAGCCCTGTGAATGGGCCAAATATGTCATAAAAGATTTCCTAGCGCTGCCTTTTGTTAGCAAAATTCATCAATCCGATAAAATCGACACATTTAGATAAGTGTTGCATAAGAATTCAGACTTTGTTATTCCCAACGGAAGTGGATATGAGACTGTAAAAAGGAAGATAAAAAATTATATCTTCTTTTTAGTGAGTTATTTGATCTGCCTCCCATTTTATTTACTTGTCAGAAAGAGTCTTTGGGACTCCTGCATAAAAACCCAACACAGTGTCAGTATCATCTTCCATATAAACAGACCTTTTGGGAAGGGCTTAGCATACTCTGAGGATAAATTAATAGTTGCCATCTGATTAATTAAATTTAAGAAAATTTCTCACTTGCGTATTTGTACTACTATTCCTATTTTAAATTATCGATTCAAGGTCAAATTATGGATTTTCCTACACAGCTAGATGAAATTGTTCACTGGAGGAGCCTCAGAACCCTCTCTTCCTGTAGCACCGAAGGGAAAGGATGCAAGCAAATGGTGGTCACCATGGTAGGTGTGGCCGAAGGGTGCTGGGCAGGCCAGCTGTCTTGCTAGAGAATGGCAGCTTTTACCTGCATGGATCAGGAGCTTCTTAAATCATTTTAGGGCATTGTTTCACTTCCTTTGGTCCCTTGCTTAGTAAATGCTCGTTTAAGTATAGAAAGGACATATTAATACTTGATGAAAAATACCTGTTCCTTATTATGCCTAAGATGTTTGATATGCAGACAGATAGTGAGGTTAAGCTTAACAGCTTGTTTGATAATAACAATAAGCTTGTCTTCTGGATGGTTAACAACCTAAGTTTGCAGACCAAAATTAGAGAAAAAGAAGGGCTGCAAGGAAAGCTAACATTTTGGTCCTAACCTTCTAAGGTCAATTAAGACTAAGGACATATGAGAACTTGTACTATAACGCCATATAACTTGGTAGTGTCCCAAATTTTCTGATCATGGAGATTATGGGGCCAAAGAAGAAAGTGATCAATGATGTAGAGTGTGCCTAAGGAGAGTCACATGGAGAGAAAACATTCTCTCAGGCTTTCACAGAGAGCACATTGACCAAGCCATGGCCGTGACTCATCCACGTGACTGACACTGACAAAGGTTCTACAATCTGAGGTACAGGATCTCAGGATAAATCCTGAGGGGATTTCACTGACCTTATCAGACCCAAAAGCTACAACTCTTGTTGCATAGGTCCTGCTTTACCTTGGTCTTAACCATCCAGTAGAAAAGTATGAAGATGAAATATAGGAAGTAAAGCCATGCTGTTATGTTGAGCTGTGGGCGACTCAGGTCAACAATTTCTGACATTGCCAGTTAAGTAGAAGACCCAATGCTATTATGGCCTACTGGACTGTTTTGGAATATTTTGCTGAGTTTACACACCTATAATATTCAATAATGGATTAACAAAAAAAGGGTATACAGATGAATGTCCATTTTGTATCTGTGTATTCAAAGTGGTTGGGATAGATATATAGTTACATTCTGTTAATGAATAGAATGATTTGTTCTAATGGTGTTTGTAAATAGGATCACAAGTCCACATCTTGTACAGCAATTAACCACTAAGAAGAATGTATGCAGTGTGTTAATTATTGAAACTGTCCTACCGATTTGATTTGAAACTGTCTCATTGCTATTTGTTTATCAATAAAATTGTGGGGAAAAAAAGTAAAGAAAGGACAGATGTGATCTGATGAACCACATACTTGAAAAGTGGCTGAGTAATGGCACATGCTTGTAATCCCAGCACTCAGGAGGAGTGAGGCAGGAGGATAGCTGTGAGTTCAAGGGCTGTCTGAACTACATAGTGAGACTTTGTCTCAAATAAACAAATGAAAAGTGCTTAGACATAAAACTGACTTTTTTCTATCCAGAGTAATTAAAAGAGAACTTAGAAAGTAGAGAAAAGTGGTTAAAAGAAAGAGACAACCACCCAGAGATTTCTTTTCTTAAAATAGTATCTGCTAATATTTAAGTTTAAAAAAAAAATTCTTTTTACTACATACAGTATTGACTTCTTTTTTCTTACACATTTTTAATTGTGGTGAAATATACAGAATATTTATCATTTTAACCACATGAAAAGGTGCAGTTTGATGACGTTAAATACATTCATGGTGCTGTATCTCCAACCCCTGAAAAAACTTTTCATAGTTCCTGACATAAACTCAGTGTTTAGGAAGCAATAGATCTCCCTTCTATCCTTGCCTCATCTCCTAGGAACTTCTGTTTTACGTTCTGTCTTTCTGAATAAGTGGAATCCTACAAAATTGGGCCTTTGTATCTAGATTTCATATAGCCTAATGTTTTCAAAGTCTAGCCATGTTGTACCACGTGTCTAAATTTCCTTCCTTTCATGGCTGTATAACATTCTATTGTATGTACCACATTTTATTATACTTCTGAGGGTGTATACATGGCCTATAGTGAATAACGTATAAGATCCATTCCCATCCCTATTTCAAGTCCTTTGACTATGTACTCCTATTTTTCTAGGAGGGGGATGAATGACATGGACAGATGGGAATTTGGTGTTTAATTTTTTGAGGAGTTTCCTATTTTCTGTAGCAGGTGTACTATTTTACATTCCCACCAGTAGTGTGCAAGGATTCCAGTTTGTTCAGTCTCTTCAACATTATTATTATATTTCTTTTTTTTCCTCAAGTAGCCATCCTAATAAGTGTAAAATGACATCTTATTGTTTTGATTTGTATTTTGCTAGAGGTTTGCATCTTTTCATATGCATGCTGGCCTTTTGTATATCTTCTTGGAGAAATATCTCTATGTCCTTTGTCCATGTTTTAATTGGGCTGTCTTATTGTTGAACTATAGATTTCTCTATTGTGAACATTAATCTCCTAATTAATAATAGAGGTTTTACAAATTTTTTCTCCCATTCTAGGTTGTCTTTTAAGTTTTTTTTAATAGAGCTGTTTGATATAAAAATGTTTTTATTTTTGATAAAAATTATTTTTTTTTCTTGTGTTGCCTGCTGAATGTGTTGGTTGTTTTAAACTATTGCCATCTTAGTAGAACTGTGCCTTTCAGTCCAGGATCGTGGAGGGCTTTCTTTTCACCCCTTAGGTCTTTGTAAATTGCTTTCATCTATATTTTGTGGTTTTCAATGTTGAAGTCTTTCACCTCAGTGGTTAGATTCATTGCTAAGTATTTAATTCTTTCTGATACTATTGGGAATGGCACTGCTCCTGTAATTTCCTTTTTGTATTATTCCTTGCTGCTGCTGTTTAGAAGCATAACTCACTTCTGACGAGTGTCCCCTGTATCATTGCTGACTCTAACTGCCCCCTTTTCTATCATCTAGTTGTAATCATGAGATATTTTCATTTTTAATTTCTGCTATTATTATGTAATGTTTTACACAATAATTTTTCAGGTAACCACTCCATTCTTCGCTCATTCTTCGCTCTTTAGATTGGGTTGTTTTCCTTCTCTTGGGTTGAACATCTTTATAAATCATTAGACTTGGTATTTTCAGTTATTTCCTCGGGATAGATTCCCAGGTATGAAATTACTAGATCAAAAGCAGCAACATTTTTAAAACTTCTGTTGAACACTGCCATATTATTTTCTAAAGGGTTCTATCATTTTACAGAAGGGTTAGCCAATAACTTTGGTTTATAAGTTTAAAACTTATATGAAGCTCTAGGATAGACATGTTGTCTTACTCTTGTTTTATTAATATTGTGTATG